GTGGCTGGGTTTGGCTGAAGAAATTTCCAGGAGATCATCACCTGGCTATCAGGCCAGCAACCAGGATGGCCTTCTCCAAGGTAAGCCATGATGGGGAGTTGGCTGGCTGGCTGGCTGCCCATTCCTGGCTTCTTTTTGTAGCAGGTTACAGGGGTAATTCCAGTGGTTTCCTTCCACTCTGGAGAGGACTTCTTACCATATCTCATGATATTAACTTTTTCTTTGATACTCTTATCACAACTTATATGTGACAAGTGAAGTGTGAATTTATCACAAAAGCTGTACGTTCAAGCTGGGCGTTGGTGGCGCACGCCTTTAATCCCAGCACTCGGGAGGCAGAGGCAGGCGGATCTCTGTGAGTTCCAGCCAGCCTGGTCTACAGAGCAAGTGCCAGGATAGGTTCCAAAGCTACACAAAAAAACCCTGTCTTGAAAAAAAAAAAAAAAAAAAAAACCAAAACACAAAAAAAGTTGTATATTCAGCTATGGTCTGGTTTATCTGCCTCCACCATGGGTGGAAGTTTAATGAGGGTGCTACCATATTCCCAGCACCCAGCACAGGGTCTGGAATATCGGAGGCCAGAGGATTTGTGTTGAGTGAGACGATTAAAAAAAAAAAAAAGTAAAAATGAGGACCCATTGAGATGACTTAATGGACCAAGGTGCCTACTGACAAGTCTGATCACATGGATTTGTTTCCCAGAACCCACATTATGGAAGGAAAGAGCTGACTCCTGCTAAGTTGCCCTCTGATCTCCACATGGGTACCATGGCATGTATATGCCCACACGCATACACATATGCAGATATGCCCACATATATAAATAATAAATAAATAAACATATTTTCAGAGAAAAAATGTAAATGGATTTCCACTTCTGTGAGGACACCTGTGTAATATGGCCCCAGTGGTATTGACATAGTGAATAAAGTGGGCATTTGGCAAGGAGGCAGTAGAACAGCTTATTCCCGTGCTTTCAACTTTCCTGGCCCTCTTCCCCCAGCACCAAGCGTCCTTGGTTTGGTCTCTTTCCAGGAGGCAGTCACTGGGGCTTGTGATCACAGCTGTGAGTGACTTAAGTGGGCTGCCTTTGTGGGTGTGGACAAAGTCACCATTTGACACCAGGTGTTTAAAATGAAAGCTGCCCCTTAACTGGGCATGTGGTCCCAGGGACAGCTGGAAGGCAGCAGCATTTGTTCTGTCTGGTCCTTCACCAAAGACTGCCACATTAGAAAGAAAAAGCAGGTTATGGTAGCGATCCTACCTGCAGCGTTTTACCTTTACGACTTCACTTAACTCTCTAGTTAACTTAGTCCCTCAGCTTTATAGTTAGTAAATCGAAACCTGACTGGCTCCTAATCCCCAGTGTATGTTCGTCTTTTCATTCATAATTTTAAGCTTAGCCATTCATAATTTGAACAGAATTATATAGAGAAGAAAGGCCTCCCACCCCCATCCTATTTTACTTACCGTTTTCAATCCTGTATTCCCAGTTTGGATGTTCCAAATAGACACTGAATCGGCTTGGGGGGGGGAGGGGAAAATGACTGGTGCTCGGTGCATTGCCTCCTAGGGAGGAAAAAAAACCTGGGTTTCTGCCTTTCAGCTGCGGGAGCTTCGGCATGAGAATGTGGTCCTCTACCTGGGGCTCTTCCTGGCGGGGACAGCAGACAGTCCTGCAGCCCCTGGGGAGGGCATCTTGGCTGTAGTCTCAGAACACTGTGCTCGGGGCTCCCTCCATGACCTCCTGGCCCAGAGAGACATAAAGCTGGACTGGATGTTCATGTCTTCACTCTCTCTGTCCCTCATCAAGGTGTGTGTGTCTGTGTGTGTGTGTGTGTGTGTGTGTGTGTGTGTGTGCCTGGATGTGTGTTTGCGGGAGGTAGAGATGTGCTGGCGGGGTAGGGGTCAGGGGAACTAAGGCTGCCTCTTCCTCCACCCCTTCCAAGGGAATGAGATATCTGCACCATCGCGGTGTGG